TTTTTACTTATTTGAGACGATTGAATACAGTATAATTCATGAGCCAAACGTGATTTGAATCGCAAACAGCACATTATATACAGATTTTTATAAATATTAAATAATAAATTCGACAATATCATCTTACCATTATGATATTTGTCATCTAAAAAATTAAAGTATTTTTAAATTAACAAGAGTTAAATAACAACAGAAAATATAAATAATAATACCATCTAAACCATTGAATTTTGTTAAATTTAAAAGAATAATTAATTAGAAGAAATCAATAAAATTAAGTGTAAGTTCTAGTATGAAATATAGTTAAACAACATAGGCTTACCGTCCATATCATTTAAATCATCTAAAACATTAAAGATTTAAAATAAAATATTTAGTTATGCAAAAGGTAATTATAAATGAATATAGTTTGTAATTACCATCTGAATTATTAAATAACTTTAATATTTTAGTTAAATTTCAATTAAATATTTTTAATTAATGAACTGCCTTACCCCCTTTAAAATCATTAATTACTAATATTCAATAATTTAATAATAATTCAGTTTAATTTGAAATAATGAAAATAGTAAAAAATATAATTAAACATAATTATCGATAACTTACGATCTAAATCATTAAATAAATTATTTTAATATAAGTGAATAGTAAAACGTGTGATGAATAAACGAACATACCCTCTATAGCAACATCAATTATTAAATAGTTTATAAATAAACAAGTTATTATTTTTAAACTTTAATAAAGTATAATTAATTATTGTTGTTAACTTACGATCTGAGTCAATAAATATTTTTAAATAAAAAATTTAGTTTTTAAATTATATAATTCAAATCATTGATCGATAAAATAACTTACTTCCTATAAACATATAATTATTTTTATCGAGTTAAAATTTAATTTAAATTATAATGAAAAATAATAATAAATGAAATAACTTACTTCCTGCAATATTAAATAACCGAGCGTATTAGATTTATAATAAAAATATAATTAATCAGTAGAAATTTAACGTTAATCGATAAAGTATAACCTACCAACTATTGGTTAAATATTATTTTGAAATAATAAGATTAGTACGAATTTTAATTACAATAAGAATTGTAGTTGACCGATAAATAGCTTACTCCCTATAATATAACCAATCATTTAATGATTTTTTAAATTTTAAATTTAGTTGAATTTAAGCTACAATTCACAATATAAAGAAATTTATATGACTTACAATCTAAAGTATGATCGATTTTATTTATTTTTTAAAAAAAAAATTAATTAATAAAAAATTATGTTAGATTTGATAAATATTCTTACCTTTTAATTCCTTTAAAGCGGGATCATCTTCTGAATCTCGCTCTAATGTGACATAATTATTGTAATTTATTTAATTAGAAACAAATTTTTTTCGTAACAGGTCCATTTGGCATATAAACTTGTTTTTTTGGTATGCTAATTTTCAATGCTTACCGACTTCGTCTAATTCAGGCACTTTTTTCTTATTTTTTGTTTTGGTAAATAAATTTTTAAGTTTTTTAATTACACTTTTACCTTTATTATTGTTATCAGACATTGAATATATTCTAAAAGAAAAGAGAATGGTGCTTTCAAACTTAACTGAGCGTTTCTTTTCTTTTAGCTTGTGGCTGAATCAAAAAAACCGGCTGCATGTCGATCATTTTTTATTTGTCAATGAATAATAGTATGACGCAGCTAAATAAGTAAAAGTAGTTGACAATAAAAAAGGCAGATGCTCTAAAAAAATTTTTTGAGTAAAATGTCAATTTTGTATTTGGCTTATAAACCAAAATATTTTTTCGATAAAAATGTTCATCAATTTTGGATACGAGGAAATTATAATTGTTATTGATTATCATCTTTTTATTTTTTTAATTTATTTAATTTGTTGTAAAAGAAACAGGATTCTCAAAAAAAAAAAAATAAATGGTGTTTTAGAAAGTTCAACATTTGGAAGAAAAGTCTTTCAGATTGATAGTGGATATTTGGTCGCCAAAAATTCTGGTGTATAATAATATAATCTTGTTCGAAAATTATGAAAACTAGAAACTTATCAAATTCAAATTCAAACCTAAACGAGGCCGGGACAGAATTCGGAACTCTCATCTGCGCCTTAATTAGTATATAACGTAACGCTTTACTTTTATATGATGTGTAATTAGTATAATTACCATTATTATTGCTTCTTCAGGAATTTTAATTTAATTTTTTTTTTTTTATAATGTAGAATAGATAAATCAAATAAATTACTCCGATCAGCATCGTTCAATTAGATTGGATTCATTTATAATTGCATTTAGTTTCTCTTCATATTATAAATGCTGGGTGAATAATTATTCGACAAAAAAACCTTCACATCCTAAATTTTGTCCGAAGTATTAAATGTACGACTTACCAAAATCGACGAAATTGAATTCATCATTACATAACACAAATAAATTCTATTACTAATTAAAGAATTCCCTAATATGGAAATTAAATTTGAGCCTTTGCGCAGCGAAAATTTTCTTCTAGTAATAAAAATATAGCACGATCTGAGAAATAAAAATTAACGAAAAAATTTAATTTATTTACTAAAAATTCAAAAATTTATTTTTAAAATATGACATAAAAATTTAGGTAAATTAATACAATATGATAAACGAATTGCAATGTTTTAAAACTTTTGTCAATTTCGATCAATATAATTTATTACTTGCGAGTTTATACAGCCCTAACTTTCGGGGATAAAACACTTGGAATTCGAAGGTACCATTAAAACTATAAACGACAAAAAATATACAGATACGTATGGAAATTTTCACAAAGCGTCAGGTCATTAGAAAAATTATTTAAAAAGCAACTGGAAAATGTGTCAAAACCTAATCGCTTCGAATTATAGGTTTCGGAATGTTTATGGCAGTTGTTTTTAAGATATTCTAACGTCTTACTATGCGTATCTATACGTTTCTTCATATTATAATTAAATATGTAGAGGTTAATTATTTGCAGCTCATTTTATGGCATCAATCGATATTCAACCCGCCCTTCATATTATTTTGATAAGTATAACAAAATTAGGTCCTTACTATTTGACATGATGTATTAAAGGTTATTAATGCAAGACTAACTTCAAACGTTTTGCTTTGGAATGGATTCGTTTCCGCTAAAAGCTGTACATAAAATTCGAACATACTTTCCGATAATGCAACAAAATCATAATTTTTAATAGCCAATTCTGTAAGATGAAATATTTTTTTTTGCTTAGAATTCACGTCAACACTTGAACCGATCTATTCACGTGGTAACGACGTTTTTTAATGTTTGAAAATAAAATAAAAAGAATCACAAATATAAAAATCATTAGATAACACATAATAATGAATACCACAGCAAACAATATCACTCGAATTATATACATACGAATCAAGTCCTTAAGTTGTGTCATAAAGTTCCTGCCTCGTCTGAAGATACATTAATTTTTAATTAATAATAATAATGATGATCCCATTTCGATCTGCATTTTTTCCAGGAACCTTTTGAAACATTTAATTATTTTTTCCAATATAATTAATTCGAGATTGTTTCATGTTCTTACGGGTTATTGAAATCTGGATACATTTATTTATTTATTTTGCAGTATGTCAACGGAACTTGACTTGTTATGTGTAGTGACAATTATGCGTAGATTAGGTAAAAAATACTTCAGACACGCATTTTCCAATTTTCTTTTGTTATATTGACTTTTATTCGGTTATCTAGGGACAAAATAATTTTTTTTTTAATCTTCGAAAATCAAACCAGTAATCAATTTGAAATAGTAGTTCATGGTTTAGTTTCGTTACTCAATTGATAAAAAAACTTTTTTTTTAGTCTTTTTTTACGTTGCTGTTGATTCATTTTTGAAATCACATACGTATCAGGATGCATTTAAGCAACAAGGGAAAAGTTCATTTATAAAGTTTCTATTAAAACGACAGAACCAGCTTTATTAATATCACATCGAAGTGGACTGTCGAAATCGGTGACTTTATTTAGCAGCAGATAGGATAATAACTGCATTGACGTGCATAAGATCCGATAATGCACGAAAATTGCATTAATCTTTGGATGGAAAAAGAGATAATGCAATAATATTATAAAATATTTATTTGCGCATGGGGGAAAATTGTTAACGTGTAAAAACCTGGATATCTTTCGGTTATGTGATCTTTGGACTCACTTCGAACGAAATTTCAAGGAGTTGTTAATGATGCAAAGGTATAAAAAGAGAACGAGAAAGGGAAGAAATAATTGTCTAAAAATTTGCTATAAATGCTCGATTACCTGAAAAAGAGCTTTTTTTCTTTAGGTATTTAAATCTAATTCGCAATAAAAAAATAAAAATAAAATAAAACCGATATGAAAATGAAAACCTTTATCGTTCTTATCTTGTTACAGGTACGTAAATTTATTTTAAAATATTGTTTATCTACTACATCATGATTCTAATAATTTAGTTGATAATTATTATATTTATTAGGTGCTAATGATCACTGCTCAAGAAATGAAGTCAGCTTTCCATACGATTAAGATTCCCGCAAGTAGCTCATGGGTACAATGCGCTAAATCTACAACATTTGCTAGTACGTTTGAATATTGGCAGGTAAGCTATTAAAATCACGTTACGGATCAAATTATTTACTATGTTCGTAACTCGATTTTAATAGAAACCTCCCCATTCTAAGTCCGGAGCTCAAAATTGAATTTTTATAAGACGCTACGTGAACAACTGGAAAACTCACGTGACGATCAGACTTCTTTTTCATATACAGGTATAAAGCTATTACTTTATTAATAATGATCGTTTTCATGAAAAAAAAAAAATACATATTTATAACACGATAGAAATATAGATTTATGTAATATACTATATATAAAAGAACAAAAAGATAAATGAACAAAATATAAATACTATCATCTAGTTTAAGTAAATACTATTTTAACAGATGATTCCTAAAATATAAAATTCATTCGCATCCTCCGTCATCGGTGCAAATTTCGCCGGCACGACAGCAAGTATCGTCTTCGCATAATTCAGGTTTAGGACCACAAATATCGTCGCAACAGCCCCCTTTACATGGAGAATATCCGGTTGGACAATTGTTCTGTCTTTTGATCAAAAGTGATTGCTTCCGTTTTCTAGATACTCTTAAGTTATCATCTCTTTTCCTATTAGGTAAAGAGGAAGCGAAAGTGATAAATACCACAATTGCAATAACTAGAAATAAGTTAAGTTTCTTAATGATTTTCATGATTTTTATCTGGGAATAATTAGTTGTCTTTGAATTTAAACGTTTATTATTTGAATGTGTTAGGGACTTCAATTCAAATGTTTTATTATTTGAATGTGGTAAAGAGCTCAATTCGAATTGATATTTATATTTATGTTTTAAAATTGATCAACAGATAGACAGTACAGTTTAAGAATAGACACAGACACAATTTTAATTAGTCACGATAAAATCTTCTTTATAAGGATAGTCATTTAAAATTCAGTTGTATTTCCTTTAGCGGAAATTTTTTATGAAAAATATTCAAGAGATTTGATGCATTCAATTTTGCCAATCAGAATATCATCAGCTTTTTTGTTGGTGTCATTTGATACATATACTGCATGCAGAAAATAAACCGGAATTAAATCAAAGAACTTTTACGGCAATTTCATTTGGAATTTGTAATGCTACGCAAAAACAATCTGCACTCGAGATATATACACACAAATCAAGTTCTTAATTAGTGTCATAAAATCATAAAATTTTTACCTTGCCACATCGTTAAAAAAAAAAAAAAAAAAAAAAAAAAAATTTTTACCTCGTTTGAACCGAGATAACAAGAGTCTAATCATTATATTAAATCTTCAATATGACTAAACAAATAAGATCCGGTGCTAAATTAAGTTCCTCATAGTTCCATTAGATTATAAAAATTCAGCGTTTGTATGTCAGACAATTATACAAACCAGTTTTTTTGCATTGTATGCATAATTGTTATGCACGGCTTGAAATAAATAAGGAATTTACGAGATTTACGCCATTAATTATTGTAGAAATGATCAAGTGAACTCATTTTCCAAAAATTTTTTTTTTGTTTATATTTACTTTTATGGTATATCTTTATAGCCGTATCATAATGAATCCGACAATGCTATCCGTTGTTTGTTATGATGGCTTGAAATAAATGAGTTTACGGGATTTACGCCATTAATTATACATGGCTTGAATAAATAAGAAATTTACGGGATTTACGCCATTAATTATTATGTAGAATGATCTAATGAACCCATTTCCAAAATCTTTTTTTGTTTATATTTACTTTTATGGTAGTCGTATTATGATGGCTTGAAATAAATGAGTTTACGCCATTAATCATTATACAGAAATGATCTACTTGTGACAGAAATCTTTTTTTTTTATATTATTTTTATGGTAAATCTTTATGGTCGTATCAATGAATTCGACATTGATGGCTTGAATAAATAAGGAATTTACGGGATTTACGCCATTAATTATTATACAGAAATGATCTTCTTGTGACAGAAATCTTTTTTTTTTTATATTTAGTTTTATGGCAGATATCTAGGGACAAAATAATATATATAGAATTTTTTTAACCTTCGAAATCAAATTCAAAATTGAAATCGTGTAACCAATACAAATCAAGGATTTGATGCGACCGTTTCGATCTGCATGTTCCAGAAATCTTTGTTTTATTAACTTTTGTGGTTTAGTTTCGTTACGCAAGGTTTAAACTTTTTTTACGTTGCCGTTGACTTCATTTTTGAAATCTCATACGTTATCAGGATGTAATTCAGCATTAGAGACTACTAAATCGCTTTATTAATATTACATCGAGGTGATATTATTTAGCAGCAGATAAGATAATAACTCCATTGACGTGCATAAGATCCGATAATACACGAAATTGCATTAATCTTTGGGCGGAAGCAGACAATATAATAATATTTTAATGCGCAACGGAAAAAATTCGTTTACGTGTAAAACCTATCGGTTATGTTTATCTTTGAAAAACAAATCACGGAGTTGTTTATGATACAAGGTACCAAAAAGAGAACGAGAAGGGAAGAAAATATTTTCTGAAAAATTGTTGATTATCTGGAACCTTTGAAATAGAAAGGGGGAAAACGGCTTGAAAAAATAAAAAATGTGTTAATGCTAAATACATATTTTGACTTAAAAATCATATTTAGCATATAAAAGTAAAATTGATTTTTTCCCGCAGTTTCCCTCTTTTCTATTGCAATGACAAGAGCTTTTATTTTCTTCAGGTTTTTTTTAAATCTAGTTCGCAATAAAAGAATATCTAATCATTCCAAGTGAAAACAAGAAAAAAAATACCTACATGAATATGAAAACCTTCATCGTTCTTTTCTTGTTACAGTTACGTCAATTTATTTTAAAATGTTGTTTATCTTATCCTCTTTCTACATTATGATTAATAATTTATTTGATAATTAATTATTAGGTACTAATGATCACTGCTCAAGAAGAAGTTACCTTTCAATACGTTTAAGATTCCCGCAAGTTGCATGTGGGTCGTATGCTCTGAAACTCCAACAGCACATGCGAATAGGTATCGAAAATTTTTCTTCTTATATTTCACTCAATTTAATTGACAATATTTTCCATTTGTTAGGCTACGCAATAAATTTAGCTGGTCAAAATGCCACAGTAGATTCAAAAAATTATGGCGGTGCAACTGTCGCCATGTAGGGATGGGGACGACTCTATCGGTTCCGTTCCGGTTTTGCGAGTCGAACCGAGTCGAACCGATCGAGCGGCTCTGGATAACCGGTTCTGAGTGGCACTCGGAACCGAACCGACCGAGTCGACTCTGATAAATTTAAACTAATTTAAATAAATTAAAATAAATTAACAAATATAAAATTAAAAATTTAAAATTATATA